AGCCATTGTTGTTGTCACCCAAGCGCGCTTTGGTGAAGTGGTTGATTACGTTACTGTTGATCATCTGTCCATCATCGTATAAAGCCCGCCCTGACAATTTGATTGGCCCGCCAGATTTTGTGCCAGCATACTCGAACCCTAAGTTCGGAGTGGGACCCAGGCTTGCGTTTTGCTGCACCTTAAGTGCTTCTTAAGTTTTCTTCCTCTCCAAAAATGGTGGTTGCCAAACTTTTAATATTATGTCCCAAAAAGGACAGGAAAAGAGACTGCTGACCCTCATTTCTGGTTGAGCCTATATTTACTTAGTCAGCTGTGATTGTTGCACAGTTGCAACACAAACAGCATTAAATGCCTAAATATTGCCATGTATTCTTTTTTAAACTATTTTAAAATATCTCATTTGTTCATAGATATTATTGGAAAACAGAATATAAATCAGCATTTCTATATATAGACTACAAAGTTTTGGTATTTAGATCCCACATCTTTTAACCCTCCACCATTAGGGAGCACCTAGCTCTGTAGACTTATGCATAGGTTGTGTCATCTAGACAGCACTGTAAGTGTTTCCCATCTCCCCTAAGAATACTGCAAGCTTTCTTTCTTTATTTCTGCTTCAGAGAACATTTATAACATCCCCCAGCTGGCAGTGCTACAGTACTTATCCATTGCACAGCATCACAGGTTTTGAATTTCATAGTGTGCTAAAAATATCCAACACTGTTAGGTCATCTACTGTAACACTTACCAAAGTTTGTATATAGCAGTCAAATTTACTGTTCATCTGCCTTAGAAGTTTATTTTCTTTTCTTTCTTTTTTTTTTTTTTTACACTAAACTGTACTTAATTTAACTAAGTTTTTACCCGTTTGACTGGACATAGTTATCTCAGTCCCTTGGATTTGCCTCTGTCACCCTCAGGAAGTGAGCAGCTGGTCAGCACCATGACCATATGGGTCACACTCAGTTTCTTTATCAGTAGTCCTCTATTTGAAGCTTCAGTCCACCTAATTTACTGGTAGATGCATCAGTAACTCTTAGGAAAAAAGCTGGCTTGATTGAAAACCACCTACAGAGTTGATTTTCATTCACGTTATTTTCATTTTATTTCAATGTGGAGAGCTTAGCAAGAGTGTGGCAATAAACAGTTTGTTTCCTGACATATAAATCCTATTCTGTTAAAATAAAATAAATAACCAGTTTCTATAAACGGCCTTTCCAGAATGGGCAGGATTGCGAAAGATAAGCAAGAATATGACATGCTAGTTTCTGCTGCAACAATACAGATCAGGAGACAATTTCAGCATTATGTGAAGAAAAACTAAAAATGTAACTATAGTAAATATATAACTCATGACAAACTGTATTTAAATAAATCTTTAAACTGTGCAGAATGACTCTTTCTTTTCTGGTTTGATCAGATCAAATGCAAAATTCTGGTGGTCCTAATATAAAATATTGAAATTTCACACACACACAAAAAAAAAAAAAAAATCACAAGAAAACACAATTAAAATATGGACTCTTTAAACAGTGTTTTAAAGAATCAATGCTCATTGTAGAATTACTAATTTAAGTTTATACAACCCCTGTAAGGTTTTGAAACATATTTTTCAAATGCAATCAAAATAAAAGTTTAGCACCAATAGGAATTAGGATTCAAATAGATTGTAGATTAGTTTACAGCTGGATGTTATTTAGTTGCATTTTTTTTTAAAGCTGCTCGTATTTTCTCTGTCTCTTTCTTGTAGCTAATACCAACTATTGCCAATAGAATAGTTAACATGTGGCTGAGGCTTCATCCATGCTTTTGTTAAAGCTGACAGTCAGCCCAATAGCCAGTCTTTAATAGTTGATTCCTTCAACACAACAGGGTAACTGAATGTGTACTTCCTTTTCCCCTTGAAAATAAGAGTCAAAAACAAGCCCAGTATATACAGATGTGTTAGATCTAAACCACACAGCTTAATTTCCTGCAGTTGTAAAAAAAAAATTTAAATCATTTGATAGCAACTGAATAGCTATTTTTTATGTAGGGTTCCCTTTGGCATTGTTGCATTGCAATTTCTCTGCACTCCTATAAAGTGTCCCAATCCTACAGTAATAGCGTCTAGTATATTATGCTTTAAAGGTATGCTTCTAAAAAAAAATGCACATGCACAACCCTGTACTCATTCTCGAGAGGGAACACCTGTTAAACGAGTGTGAGAGCATGTACAAGGCTATTTCTCCTCATGCATGCTTTGTGTGAAATTTGTTTTTCAGTAAGCATACAAGCTTACTGTGTCCAAACGTCCGCCCTAACCCCTAGATCCCTCAATCACGAAATAGAGTGGGGACTATATAGTGGACTTTATAGCGAACTCAGTTAACTGACCATTTGGACAGAGCACTACTTTTTGCTCCCCGTTGGTCACGTAACTCCTCCTCCACCGTACAGTGCCTGCCCGATCTTTGTTATTAGTCACTGCTGTTGGATAGCGACAGCCTATGGCGACAGCGGGTCCCTGTGACAGAAAATCCCACATTGCTTTGCGAGGAGAGCTTTCTGCTCAAAGCATTCTGGGATATATCTGCCTCTTCTGAGGTCTTTCTTTTCTTCTCATAAACTTCCTTGACACTTTTTCTCTTACAACCCTCGACCATTTTCAAAGAACCACGGTGAGAAAGATGACCACTTATTCAGATGATCCACCTGCAAATAAAAGATCTTCCTTTTTTTTTTTTTTTTTTTTACTTATTTTGCCCTAAGTGAAGTTGCCATTGAGGTCTCAAATGATCTGGAAATATTTATCACTTCAATTGTTTGCTAGATTGACCCTTTTAACATGGACATGCCTGATGTCCCATCTGCCACACAGCACGGGAACTTCAGACCCAAAGTACATTCAGGGAAAACAGGCTACAGGCTTATAGATACATCGGCGCTGAACTTCAGAGGTGTCAGTCTGTACCAAATTATGTTTTAGTGATAAAGGGTCAAATTAAAAAGGCAATTTTTCAGTAGAAACTTACAAAATATCTCTTTAGGAACCAGAGAAAGTATTTCAGCTACATTTAAATATCCTGTGTTTATATCATTGCAGGCAAGAAGAACTCAATCCTGATGCACAAAGTCCAGCATGATCTCAATTCTGGTGTTTTCAACAACCATGAAAATGAGATGATTCAGGAAATAGTCAAATATGATCGGGAGATGGTTCAGCAAGTGGATGTACCCCGGCCACGAGCTATGTCAATGACACCTCCACTTCCTGGTGGGATTTTTTCTCCTCCAGCTTCTTCCACTCAGCCTCGAGACTCAGCAATTGCAACTCTACAACAAGCTGTGGCGATGAACTTTTGTAACCCCATGCAAGGAAACTCGCTGGGAGCAGGGACCTTGCAGTCTCCTAGGATGGTGAGAAGATTTCAGGTGATGCAAAGTGTTTCCAGCCCAGTCTCTGCTTCTCCGCTACAGTCACAGCTCCTAGCCTCCGGTGCCTTTGCTCCAGTCTTGGCCAGTCCCCCAATTCAGAGCCCATTAGCTACAGGAGGACGATCATTCCAGTATGGATCCAGTGCACTGGCTGGTCCTAACTCAGGCTCCCAGCTGTCTCTGGTTCAACAGCATATAGCCAGTCCTGCACACAGGCCCAGCATGCATAAGAGCACCCATTCTTTGCACCTGGGGAGTCTGAGCCAAGATGTCAGGGCCCTATCCGCCTCACAGCCCTCATTGCCCCATGAAGGGGTGCAACCAACTGTCTCCAGTCCACCCCAATCAGCACAAGTTTCTTCCACTTCTATTGGACCCCCTCAAACCCTGTCAGGCCCTACAAGCATTCTGAGTGCAGTACCTCATAGGGTGGTACTCCCCCATCAAATGTCAGCCGGGGCCTTTCCTGTAGCATCTTTGCCTGGTTCTCTGCATGGTTTTGCAACAGGGATGGCAGTAGGTAGCATTGGAACAGGTCAGGCGGACACAGGTCCCCCTAAAAAGGACTCAATAGTAAGCCTTCCAGAGACAGACCACGCCAAGGTGAGATCTAGGCTATCCTCAAACTTGTGATTTTAATTAAACTGTTCTGGGAGACTGACTGATTGAGGAGACTAATCACAGGAACATCTTCCTCTTCTTTTTTCCAAGTCTGACTATTTGAATGTATGGATGTTGAGTGAGCTGGGAGCATCTAAGACATTTAAATCTAGTGACATTTGATTCTGCCACACAGAGATGTTTCTACTCACAGCTGTAGTTGCACAGACAAGTAGAGATAAAGTAGAGTTTTTCTCAACATAGTCAACAATATATTCTTCAGTGTCTCATTCACTTCATATAAAGGAAATCCGGGGTTGAGTCTTTGAAAGAAAATTTTCAGGTACATAGGCCTACTTCAGATATCAGAAGGTTAAACTTCATTGGTAATTATTTACTGTACCATAAAAATCCACCAGAACTCCTTTTAAACTTATTAGCTTTGGTATTGGAGAAAAAACTGTTGTTTTATTGTCCCCTTTAAATTGTATTTGCACCTTATTGGTAAGCACATAAAATAAAAGAAATTCAAAAATTGAACTACCTTAAAACAAACCCTAATAGCCATATCAATGATGGTATATTATAAATGGATTGTTGATAGTATAAAAAAAAAACAAAACAAAAAAACAACCCTTTTACCTGAATTTCATGCAGCAAAAATATAATACTCCAAAGACACCAGGGGACCAGTAGCTCCTTAATAAATAAGAGCTTTGGTCTAAGGTAGAGGACCATCAGATTCTTAAAATTAGTCATGCACAAGATGCACAATTTTATAGGCTCCCTTCACATTAGATTAATGCTGACCTAAAATGTGCGGAACCTCCACAACTGTTTAAAATGTGTAAACCAAATGTTTATGCAAGGCAATGTTATTCTGCTGTGCCTTCAGCGTTTACCTTGGTAAATTTGTTGCTTTTTCACAATTTCACAGCCACATACATTTCCTGTCAATCTATAAAATCAGTAAACACATTTTGAGGAGTTCTGCACCTACCCCATCAGTTTTAACATCATGATTTTTTTAGCTGCATGAAATGATGCAGATCAAGGGATTTTAGAATACTTTCTACTGCATAGTATGCAGTGCTGAGTAATACTGTTAGTGGAACACCTGACTTGGCAAGTCTCTCTGATGTTATGGTGCAAGTTTACTCTGGAATGAAGGGGGCCTTGGAAAAAGAAGTAATCATGGATTCTTCACTGACATGATCTCATCATACCAATTTTTATTGGTATGTAAACTCTTCAAAAACTAATTATTTAAGAACATTAAAATGTGGGGAAAATGTTTTTTGTTTTTTTTCTAAACCATTGATTTATATGCAAATTATCGCCATTTACTAACTTTATAGGTCATAAATCTAAAGAGAATGAATTATCCATTTCACATCACTATGCACCTTGCTCTTTTGATGGTTCAACAACACCTATTCCACACAATAGAAAATGCTACTATCAGCCAGAAATGTTACAGAAATGTATTCAAAATTCAGCAGCTGGTTGAGTAAGGTAACATTTTTATATAATAAACTATAGATCTGAATCTTAATGGAAATCACCAGTATAAGGCTGTAAAGAACAGATAAACATCCTTATATGTGCTGGATGTTTCAAAAGGTGACAGAAAAAAGTTTATTTTGGACCTCTGAAATGCTCAATTACGAATCTGAATGGATTCTAGTGAGCCTTTCCTGTTACCCAGACTTGAACTGTTATTCACTGCCATTTACATTCTAGAAGCTTATTACAACTTTATTTTAAATTCAAATCCCTGTCATCACAATGTAAATTCATTCTTTTCTAACCCTGAATTTTCACTTGCCTTTAGTGGCCGTTAAGGCGATGCATCACTATGCCAAAGTCAATTCTCACAAATAATGTATCGCCTGTTACCTCCGCAATTTAGATAAACAGCCAAGGACAGTGCTAATCCTTTGCTGGATGCATATTGCAGTTTCCCTCTGTCATTGATGCTGCAGTAAGAGTTCATCCAATGCCACTGATTTGTGTCCAAAAGCATTAGGAAGAAGACCCCTTTTTCCTGGAAGTGACTTTCCATTCACCTCAGCTTACTATTGCCTGAATCATTACATGGTAATGAGAGTGGAAAATGAAATCCCTCAGGCCTGTTTGGGTCTGTTATTATCATCCTTCAACTGGATTTCATTATTCTGTGCCAATAATGAGTTCCTTTCCTATGATCATTCTGCATTTTTGTCCTGTTTAGTTTGCACTCCTGCACGTTCATCTACCATGAGAGTCCCAAATTTGAAAAAGTAGACAGTTTTAAGTGTTGTAAAACAGTATATTTTTTCTTGTGTTTTCTGTCATGATAAAATTCTGCCCCTGGAACTCATTTGAGTCCTCCAGCATAATTGATATTATAAGAATTGTGTTTATTCTATACTGTTTCCAGGGGGCACAGTTTTATATATATATTATATATATATATATATATATATATATATATATATATATATATATATATATATATATATATATATATATATATTCTCAAAGCTACTGATCAACTGAGATGTAGATTTTGTACTGCCTTGAAAAATGTAACATGCTAATTCCAGAGTACCACCTTTAGACCCACAACATGGTGAACCCTGAATGGGCTACATCAGCAGATGACTACACATAGGGTGTTCACTAAGAACATGAAGCTGAGACCTCAGTTTGCACAGATTCACAGGAATCGGACCTCCACACAAGCTGGATAATTCTTCCCCTGTCAGATGGGCCTTAATTTCAGCTGCAACATTCTATAGGTAGAAGTACTTATATAGCACTTTTTCAAGTCAGGCAACTTGACCAAAGCCCTTTATACTACATTCAGTCATTCACCCATTCAGACACACTGATGGTGGCAAGCTATATTGTAGCTACAGCTGCACTGTGGCTCACTGACCGAAGCCAGGCTGATGTACACTGAGGCCATCGGTCCCTCTAACCACTATCAGTAGATAATGCAGGTGAAGTTTCTTGCCCACGGAAATAACAATACTGAAAACAGGATCCGGGGTTCGAACCGACAACCCTCCGATTGCTGGGAAAGCTCCTGCAACCAACCCACTGTTGCCTCCCTAGGTAGGGTCAACATTTCTCATAAGAATCCTGAAAAAAGGGATCCATCCTGCCTTTTACCAATCATCAATATTGCTGCTGGTGGTGTAAGTGTGCTGGGGATATTTTCTTGGCACAGCATTGTTAAACACCATGTCCAGTTTATTCTCTTACAACCACTGTCTATCTACCATCTGATGGATACTTTCAGCAGGATCATGTTCCATGTCATAAAGCTCAGATAATCCCAAACTAATTTCGTTGACTTGAAGTATTCACCATAGTGAGATCTGAATCCAAAACAGCCCCTTTAGAGTTACTAGGAAGGACAGATTTTCATTGTGGAGGTCTAGCTAACAAATCTGCTACAACTTATTTCGCTTTGCCAATATGAACCAACATTTCTAAGGGATGTTTCTGTTGCCCCATTGATTCTAATTCCAAAAAGGATCAATATGGTTCTAAAAGGCAAAAGCATCACAACCTGAAACTAGCAGGAGGTGCCTAACAAGGTTTGCAGTGAACATAAAATCAGAACATTGTTACATAGCACCAGATAGTACTGTATTTTCTGATTACTTAAAACTACAAAAATACATTCATAAAACTTTAAATGTACAATCAAAATAAAGCTTAAACTCCTGCAGCTTTTCTACAAGAACATTTACGAGTTGAACTATCACTTTATGAAATTCATCTAGTCATTTCCAATAAATGTGATGTTTCTAACAACAAGCAATAATGGTCTGATTGAAGACTGAGTGGTAACTTTATGCAGATGATACTCAAGTGTACTCTTGATTTGTCTGTGGAGATGCAATATTTTAAAATTCACATTGGTTCAAAAAACTTTACAGAGAATGTTATGTTCATTGTTTGTTTCTGTTAACAGATAATTCAGTTTAAAGCCCCATCCTTCTTATGAATAAGTTGGCTAACATGGTTATTTCTATGTGTAAACATAGCCTGCATAATCTAAACAAGACTTTTTTATTTATGTAACCCAGTTCACTATAATTGTAGACATTAAAAAGGGACATGTTGTAATAAGTGTTGTTTTTAAACTGACCCGATGCAAACAATAATGTGGTCTGAATTGACCAAAACTAAGAATTAAAGCAGAAGGAATCAGTTTATATTTCTTAAGATCTATGGCTTTTTTTTTTTGCCTGAATTATCGCATTGTAGCATTTGCTATTCCTTTTATATGTATATATATATA